GGGATGAGAAAATGAGAAATAAATAACGTCGTTATTTTACGGTTACTTTTTGTAATAACAATTTGGTAGTAACATTATAATTTTTATGTCGATAAAGATAACTTTAATTAACTAAAGGTTAAGAAAGTCACTTTTAAAAATTAGCTTATCATTATTATGAGTTATCCATTGAAAAAAAGTAACTCATTACTTGTAAAACACGTCGACGCATTACTTTTACTTATGCTACTTTAATTCGTTACACACAAATAATGTTGCTTTTCTTAATAAATAAATTTTTTCAAGAAATAACGCGTAATGGTAAAAATTCATTTTTTTCATAAATATCTTTTCCATCTTTAACTTACAGTTAGTTGTCATTATCAAAAATTACAACGTATCAATAAAAAATTGATCAAATTGCTATTAAAAAATAACGGTAGAAATAATGAATAGAAGTTACTTACTACCCATCTCTATGTGTACCCAGATAGCCAAGTTTGTAGAAAATATATTTCTTAAATGTCTGCTACATACTATGTTAACAAAATAACAACAGAATTAAATGTACATAATATTGTTAACAGACTGCTAAAAAAAACGTAACAGAATCTGCAAGCATCAGATAATGTCAGCAGGATCTGATCAGTTTCTATCAACAATTTGCCATCACATTATATCGACAGGCAATATTAACAGAACACAAGCCTAATGTGGACACAGTTGATAGCAGACTGCCGTCATTTTCTACTCGAACCTGCTGACAGTCTGCTAGAAGACTGCAGACATTTTGCTATCTGGGTATAATATATATATATATGAGCTAAAAAAAGGAATGGATGTACTGTATTAAATACTTTTATATTATTTAAGGCAATTTAAATATATTAAAGTATATACTTTTTAGTAATTTGTGTGATAAATATGTATCTTAAATTACTAATTTTCGAATGTGCTGAAATTAACATTGATTAATTTTATAATAGCTTAATTAATTTTATGAACTGTGTATATTACTCATAAGTGATGAGCCCCCAATTTCCCATGGCGTTAATTGGAAACTTCGGTATCAGGATGTGATCCATTTTGGATATCTTCAGGGAACTATTGGTATATTCAATCAAGATATCCGTGACCTTTTCAGAAGCATTATATGCGAATCCTAGGTATATAGGCACTAATGACGATCTACGACACCAAAATGTATGGATGGTTTCATGTACTAATGACTGAAAGCTGATGAATTTTAACATCACAATCGCTACGGTATAAGTGGGCATTATAGGAGTAGCCTCGAAATATGTCGTTTTCATTTTATCTGGTTCGTCGTATATTTCTTTTACTGGCATATTTGATAGTATCGTATAATGTGCATGATGCATTACGGAGATGTTAAAGATGGCTTTTAATGCTGGTTCATCCCAACATGGAAACATTCGTCTGGCGCCATTCGGCGAGAAATGTGTTATAGCGAACTCTAATCTGTTTGATAAAATTTATTAAATGATAACAAATTTTCCACTTATGTCATCTAACTTAAAAATTTAATAAATATTAATTATTGTTAACTGTCATTAGTATTATTACATGTAAATAAATTTTGGCAAGAGCAAAAATTGAAATACTGCATAACTGTGCCGTTTTATGATTAATTTGAAATTGAAAATTACCGTTTAAAGTATTAAAA